AATTGGTGTGAATGCATTAATGGCTGGCTGCCACCCAGACATCTGACTTTAAATAAGTTGCACCACTTGACGCTGCCTGTTTGACAGAATTCATTAAATAAGAGATGAGGAAACTTTAATTGATTTTCTTTTCATCACTGTCACTGTCTTACACTCAGATGTTTCTCACTTTACTTTGACTCTAATGGGAATGGAATATCAACGTGCTCAGCTTAATGCAGAGTTTAAAAACATTAATAACACAGTAATTTAACTTTCACATTTCAGAGATAAATATTGTACTTTTGGCCTCGCCACACTATAATTTAATAACCTGTTTTGAGATAAAGGTTAATGTTAAACATGTAAGTATTATTTAAAGGTTTAATGTCATATCATATACACAACTACGGTGTAGTATGTAATGGATCTAAAACTTGGGTCACAGGTTCGTCAACAATGCAATTACAAGACATAAATAAATATGTGCAAAATCAGGCGGTAAGTAGTCGTATAGCCAGTGGGATAAAACTGTCTATGAATATAATTTATATTATTATAGAGATTTAATTATTCCCTTCAAAAGAGAAAGCAAGAAAATAATAAACATCATTGACACAACAAAGCTCTAGCCCTTCACTGCATCCATTTTCAATGTATTGTCTGGGTTTGATTGGTTTATTTCTGTCTTTGTTTTTGTATGTATCTGATCCTTGAGTTGAATGTGAATATCTGAAAGCCTGTGTTTTGAGTTAGGAAAGAAAAACAGGTGAGGGCGGGGTCTGTGGTCTTCATTACATGAGCCTAATGCGTCTAATGCACCACCCGGAGGGCACGTAAAGTGACCCCAAAACAAACGCACCCACGTGTATGCGTTCACAGGTGCACGCCGATTTGCTGGGAAAGCTAGCGGTGGTGTGTGTGGCGGTGAATTCAACATAAACACAGAGACCTTAACCGACACTGAGGACTATTTTGGGAATAAATATACCAGTCTATGGAATAAACGAGCAAGAGGGCCATTTTGTGGAGGAATTCTCCCTCAAACCATTCAGAAAGGTGAGTCCAAAAACAAACTAATAACGGATTTAACCAGAGACGTTTTAGAAAAGACATGGCAGCACTGAGATCTGTTTCTAGTTCACTTGTGATTCGTCACGACTCATCTGTTTATATGAGCGACAGGTGTATTAACCTCTAATGGGAGGATGTGAATGACAGATTATTGCATCCCAAAATCACAAAGAATAGAAATATGAACAGACTTTTCATGAACCACATTTCTTCAGAACAGTCAGACACTAACATGGCATTTTTCAGACGGACAATTCAGGGGGAAATGTACTTAAGTTTGAGACCAATTTGTGTCTGGCAACACCGCGGGATTTGAGACAACTAACGTAATGTAACAAACATATTTAATAATAAAATAACTAATTACAATCATCCTAAATAGTTATAAAGGTTAAACACTTCTAAACTCACTTTCTTAGCATTTATTTGTGTGTTTTTATTTGTAGATACTGTTGTTTATTTCACTTGCTCTGGGTATTTATAAGTGCTATATTAATAATGTTATTATAATAATTATTATGACACTTCCCGTCTCCTAAACGGGCATGTGCTAACGTATTTTGATTTGATTTAGGGTAACATTAGACGTGCCACCGCCTGCTTTTAGCTAACAAATAATAGTTAGGTAAGGATTTGTTGATGTTCGCTTAAAAAGTTTGGCACAAGATCCCGAAATGCAAGATCTCGTGTTGCTGAGTTTGACAAATCTGATGTAACTCTTGATAGGATTGCATCAATGTTGTTGTACTTTAAAAATGTGCTGCTTTTGTTTGTGGCTGCAGCAGCTGTGGAGTTCATGTTGTTTCTACATGTTTGTTTTGCCTGCTGGTGATTCTGCTGTTGATTTTCTACAGAAGTGGTTATTCGTGTTATTCGTGTTATTTGTTGTTGCATAAGTTGTTTGTTGCACCCTGTCCAGTTGTTTTTATTATTGGTTGTTTGGTTTAAATGTCTCTTTTCTTGGTGTATAATGGATATCAGTTGTTGCAGAGCGCTGTCTTTAAAGAATACTGTTGATTTGGACCAATGAGGTCTCTGTGAAGTGACGTGTTATTGCACCTTTTTGTGGCCTAAATATGTTAACTTAACAGTTTTAAAATCATCGTTTTTCAGAACCTCCTTTCCTTTTTTTAAAAAATAAATATCACGCAGCAACTTCAGCTCAGTGCTTGTTTTAAACACTTCCATATCAATATCGGGATCAGCTTTGAAAACCCAGGATGAGTTATTATGTAATAAATGTCATGCATTTTTAGTGTTATGAAGTTATGTCACCCTATGATGATTTATGTAGAGGCAGTCCACCCTCCCTGACATAACGACTCGAGAGACATCATAAATATGAACACGCTTTCAAGAAATACAGTTAATCTTCAGGAAGAGAAAGCAGCAGAGGTGCAGAGACATGATATTGTTAAGGGTGGGGTAGGTAAGTTTGAGAAACCGGCTCGAGATACACTTTTTGTTATATTCCATGGAATGCTCTTAAACATCCCGATAGCAATGAATATCTGAAGTGCTTTGACAACAAATCCATAAAGAAATGTCATCTGTGGAAGCCGTAGTACTGTAAAAAGCACGACCAATCATCTGAGCCGGCCCGGCTAAAATAACTGGATGGCCTACCTGCCTGTCAGCCTTCCATCTGTGCACAAACTTATCTCGTGCCCTCATTGGTCATGTGCGCGTTCGTGTGTGTTGGAGGAGGGGCTCTGGAAGGAAATGGCAGTCTTTTCCGTCTGTGTATTTTCAAATTCTAGCGATCTCGAGCTGGTTTCTCCAAAATTACCTACCCCACCTTTAAGGATATCTATGCCATATTAGGATATGACGATACTCAAATGATCACGGTTTCTAGTCGCATATCAAATCGGTACATTGTCCAGCCCTAGTTCACACAACTAGACATTTATATGATTGCAATGATTGCTTTGAAATGGTTGAAATACCAACGATAGACAATTTAGCCTTATACACTTAGGTTTGGGTGTAATTACTGTAAACAATTGACTTTGACCAACGTGAGGCATTCAAGTTTGTGGGTTTCTGGGCACTTTCCTTTTTATTAAGTGGCAATATGAAGAGCTTTCTGAGAAGTTTCCCAGTCTTAAAATGTGACTTTCTTGTTGAGTTGAATGCTATGAATGCCTGGAATTTTTATTTACAGCAACTCAGATATCACATGAATGCAGCCCAGCTAAACTATTTCCCGAAGGAGGCCTTGCAACATGCTACGAGTTAAGTAATGTTTTGCAAGAGAACAAGTTCATTTAATAGAAAGATTCTGCTTATGTTTGCATTTAACAGCAGGTAATGAGCATGCTAACGGGTGCTAATGTGACCACATGTAGCTCTGCAGCTTCTCTAACTGGATTGTGCAATAGCCGTGGCAGCTGTGGCTCTTTTTCCACCAGCAAAACAAATCAGTTCACACATGAGCTTGGAAATAACAGAATGAGTGTTATTAAGTTACAGTTATACTGACCAAAGAAACGCTACAAGCTCCTCTCTCCGACGAGAATAAAAAGTTGACATGGATTGCAGGATGCACACATTGAAAAGATGACTGATTTGTGTATCATGTCTATACTCAAAGTGTCTTTTATTATCAAATATAAGAAGCATGTCCACCCAAGAGTGACTGCAATTGATAAGATCATGTTATTTAGTCTGAAACTGAAACATGTAATTGATGAAATGGTTAAATGGACATAAAGTTCAAATGCAACTATGTTTCTTAGTAAAGTATTTGTTGTAACCTTTTTTCTATCAAAAAATGACAACCATTCTCTGGTTCTACCTTCTCCAACATGAGTATTTTCTGTTGTTTTAATTTTTTACCTGAATATTTGGGGTTTTGGACTTCTACTGGGACAAAACAAGACATTTAAAAAGGGGTTACATTTGAGCTTAGCTAATTGTGATCATGATTTTCTGACATTTTATTTAACAGATCACATGAAATGCTGGGTAATTGTCGCCTCTAGAGTAACATTAGCTGGGTGATTTCAATGATATAAGGTAATGAGTAATCTGTAGGGACGGTTTTATCAGTAACTTCTCCACACAGGGAGTTTTGATTATCAGCTGACTGACTGTCCCTGTTGTATAATAACCTTAGTGACAGCAAATGTGCTTAGGCTAATATAAAAAGATTAGGGTGGCAATAAAAACCGCACAACAGAGCAATGACAAGCCTGTTGTTGTCATGTTATTGCTAAAGGAGCCATTTAATTAAAGTTTCCTCAGGCTGAATGACTCAGGACAGGAAATAGCCTGTAAATGCCCTCAGCTGCTTGTTTTAAAGTCTGGTTGAAAACATCTCCCAATTTCCCTGAACACACACACACAAACACACATCACCACACCACACACACACACACACCACACCACACACACACACACACACACACACACACACACACACACACACACACACACACACACACACCACACACACACACACCACACACACACACACACACACACACACACCACACCCACACACCACACACACACACACACACACCACACACACACCACCACACACACACACACACACCACACACACACACACACACACACACACACACACACACCACACACACACACACACACACACACACACACATCACACACACCACACACACACACACACACACACACCACACACACACACACACACACACACACACACACACACACACACACACACACACACACTACAGAAACAAGGATAGGCCTGGAAACTGGTGCCACAAACACTCTTAAAATACCCCAAAAAGCTTTATTTCGGAGCATTGACACAACTATAGGAGCCAGGCAGACTGTGCATGAAGCATTAGTTTGCTATAATGTTACCAACAGCAGTATCCTTGCAGTAAACAATACAAAAAAACACATACAATGACAGTGGTTATTTCCATGTATGTTGTGAAGTTACCTACCTTGTTTTGGAGGCCAGGAAAGCGAGTTTTATTAATCCATGAGTGCAGATCTGGATCCCCTCTTTCTCTATACTCGCCACTTTCAAGCTGTGCTCTAAAATATGAAGCTCCATCTTTTACGTCTTCTCATTTGAGGAGCGACTAAAATGTACAAATAGCAAAAACCTAAACACTTTCAAATGAGATGCATAAATAAATAAATACACACACGCATACACGCACACGGCAGGGGAAAAGGTGTATTAAATAGAGAAAGAAAAGCGAGGCAGGGTGGTTTAAAGAAAGCAAAGAGGTAAAAACGGACCTGCTGTCAACCCCCTGCAACGGAACCACGCGCACTTCTGGTAGAAGATTTTCAAAATGAAAGCCTCCGACACACAGACGCAGTTAAAGGAATAGTTTTGTTTTTTTCTACCTAATAAATAGACACCATTATAACTTCGGTGTGCTTAATATGTCTTAATTGTTGGTTTTATATTTGGTACTGACTAAAAAATAAGTTCGCAATATCGGAATTCACGAGTTTTATTGGTAAGAGGATTTTGTTATCATTAGAGAGGCTAGCAGTTTCCATCTGCTTCCATTGCTTATGCTAAGCTAAGCTAACTGCTGGCTATAGCCTCATATTTACCGTACACATATGAGAATGGCATTGATCTTATTGTCTAACTATTGCTTGTTAGAATATATAAGCAGATGTTATATCTGTTGTAATTTATTGTCGTTTATTGTGTTTTGTAGTAATGTGTTTTTATTACATGTACAGCACTTTGGCTCGACCAAAAATCGCTTTTAAATGTGCTCTATAAATAAAACCTGATTTGATTTGATTTGAGATGTACCAATATTTATCACCAAGGACAATTAAGTCTACTTTAAATATTTATTTTAAACACTAATACCAAGTTCCAGATAATGGGAATATGCTGCTTTGCTATTGTATCTATTTTCTTTTTATTTCAATTGTTTTATGTTATAAAACCTAATTCATTGATTAGTTAAAAAAATAAATAATGAAAGAAGTATCTGTTTTTGGTATTAAAATATATAACAATAGAAGTGACTTAAATACTATAATTGTTTTGGTTTTGTAATTTCCTTAATTATTAATTTTAACCTTGCATAAAATTGTAAAAACAAGAATGATCGACATGTATATTGAACAAAAATCCACCCTGTTATTCATAACATGCTGAGCAAAGTCTACTTAACCTCATTAACGTTTTTATATTGTTTTTATACCGGTGCTTTTATTGTATACAATAAAGGTGAAAGCGGAAGTGAGTTGCTGAGCAGCTTCTTGCAGCTTGTCGGCTCAGATCTGGTCCCCATGTTTGCTCTCCGACTGGAATAGTTAGCAGCTGGTCGGACTGAAACAAACAACTTGCCATTCAAACGAAAGGGGCGGGTCTGCAGTGGAGAAGGGCATTCTGGGAAGTGTAGTTTTGTACCGTATTTGTCTGTTCAGGTACGTATACCAAGGTGGAAAGAAAGAGAAAGAATAACGAGATTTAAAACATTTTATAACATGCTTAAGCAACCCCAAAGAGAGGCTGACTAAAATGATAAATAACAGAATGAAATAAAAATAAAAGTACATTATATCAGTGTATATCTTTTAAACTATGAACATGTTTGGACTAGATCTGACAAATACAGTATTATAGTATCATATACATTAGACAATGATCCAACAGTAGTATTGCACATATTTATTATTATAAGAACAATTATATGAATGCCCCAGTTGGATGCAAATGGACACACATATTTACTTGAATTACATTATTATTGCACCTTTCTTGATGCAAAGCAGGGGTGTGTTTACATTTAGTAGTGTAAGGAGAAAGGCTCTGAAGGTTGCAATTATTTTCTCATGGCATTATAATATAAAAAGTTACAAAGCTTAGACCCGTGAATAACAGCTCTGCCTCCATTTTATTTAAAGTAACTTGACACAAATGTAATTGTTTTTCGCCCGGTTGCTTATCCATACTAATGGTAAGTCTGCAATACATTTGGGAGAGCAGCTACTGTAGTTGTCACAGTATAAATAATGGAGATATAGACACATCTAATAACTATAACTCCAATGTTAACTGCAGCTTTCTGTCAACTATAACTTGGACTCTATTCTATTGAAGCTTGCAGGTGCATTTTGCTCTAATTTCTTGAGCATCTCATGTTGCCATGGCAGTTGTATTGTAGAAAGTTAGAAAGCTTTGACCTTTTATTTACTGCTTCTACTCCATATTATTTCTAAGTGCTTTGACGTAGGTGAGTGGAGTGTTTCCTGGGAATCCATACAAACGTTTGCCCCTCTGGAAATGACATTTGCATTTACTTCCTTACCATCCTCTCATATACTCAGGTTGCCTTTTATAGAAATAGTGTAGGGGCTAAAGCATGTTTTCTTTGCCCCCTTGAGGTTAAACTCACAATAATTGGCATCCTGTTGCGTCTCCGGTGTTTGAGTGAGTGAAAGGTTGCGTCCCGCTGTGAGGCCGCGGTGGAAACACACGTATTCACGGCTTGTAGCAGCACGGTGGGATTGTGGAAAAATGGCCTCTGACACGTACTCGGACATTTTGTACTGTTCCTCACTCATCTCATGCACCAGGATGTGTGGTGGTTTCCCACAATTACTGAGATCCCCTGTGTGTGTGTGCTCATCGACAGCTTTGTATCATGCTGATTGATTTATTAGCCAGTTGTTGTCTTTGGCTCTTCCTTTGTCCACTTGTTGATAGACTCGAAATGCAAATATCCAGTCTGCTCTCTTAAAAAAGACTTATATGCTCATTTTCAGGTGTATATCAGTATGTAGTGTCTCTACTTTAAAGAGTCCTCTCCTGCTGATGTTCAGGTGTATATCAGTATGTAGTGTCTCTACTTTAAAGAGTCCTCTCCTGCTGATGTTCAGGTGTATATCAGTATGTAGTGTCTCTACTTTAAAGAGTCCTCTCCTGCTGATGTTCAGGTGTATATCAGTATGTAGTGTCTCTACTTTAAAGAGTCCTCTCCTGCTGATGTTCAGGTGTATATCAGTATGTAGTGTCTCTACTTTAAAGAGTCCTCTCCTGCTCATTTTCAGGTGTATATCAGTATGTAGTGTCTCTACTTTAAAGAGTCCTCTCCTGCTGATGTTCAGGTGTATATCAGTATGTAGTGTCTCTACTTTAAAGAGTCCTCTCCTGCTGATGTTCAGGTGTATATCAGTATGTAGTGTCTCTACTTTAAAGAGTCCTCTCCTGCTGATGTTCAGGTGTATATCAGTATGTAGTGTCTCTACTTTAAAGAGTTCTCTCCTGCTGATGTTCAGGTGTATATCAGTATGTAGTGTCTCTACTTTAAAGAGTCCTCTCCTGCTGATGTTCAGGTGTATATCAGTATGTAGTGTCTCTACTTTAAAGAGTTCTCTCCTGCTGATGTTCAGGTGTATATCAGTATGTAGTGTCTCTACTTTAAAGAGTCCTCTCCTGCTGATGTTCAGGTGTATATCAGTATGTAGTGTCTCTACTTTAAAGAGTCCTCTCCTGCTGATGTTCAGGTGTATATCAGTATGTAGTAGTGTCTCTACTTTAAAGAGTCCTCTCCTGCTGATGTTCAGGTGTATATCAGCATGTAGTGTCTCTACTTTAAAGAGTCCTCTCCTGCTGATGTTCAGGTGTATATCAGTATGTAGTGTCTCTACTTTAAAGAGTCCTCTCCTGCTGATGTTCAGGTGTATATCAGTATGTAGTGTCTCTACTTTAAAGAGTCCTCTCCTGCTGATGTTCAGGTGTATATCAGTATGTAGTGTCTCTACTTTAAAGAGTCCTCTCCTGCTGATGTTCAGGTGTATATCAGTATGTAGTGTCTCTACTTTAAAGAGTCCTCTCCTGCTGATGTTCAGGTGTATATCAGTATGTAGTGTCTCTACTTTAAAGAGTCCTCTCCTGCTGATGTTCAGGTGTATATCAGTATGTAGTGTCTCTACTTTAAAGAGTCCTCTCCTGCTGATGTTCAGGTGTATAGCAGTATGTAGTGTCTCTACTTTAAAGAGTCCTCTCCTGCTGATGTTCAGGTGTATATCAGTATGTAGTGTCTCTACTTTAAAGAGTCCTCTCCTGCTGATGTTCAGGTGTATATCAGTATGTAGTGTCTCTACTTTAAAGAGTCCTCTCCTGCTGATGTTCAGGTGTATATCAGTATGTAGTGTCTCTACTTTAAAGAGTCCTCTCCTGCTGATGTTCAGGTGTATATCAGTATGTAGTGTCTCTACTTTAAAGAGTCCTCTCCTGCTGATGTTCAGGTGTATATCAGTATGTAGTGTCTCTACTTTAAAGAGTCCTCTCCTGCTGATGTTCAGGTGTATATCAGTATGTAGTGTCTCTACTTTAAAGAGTCCTCTCCTGCTGATGTTCAGGTGTATATCAGTATGTAGTGTCTCTACTTTAAAGAGTCCTCTCCTGCTGATGTTCAGGTGTATATCAGTATGTAGTGTCTCTACATGTCTCCATGCTTTAATGTTCAAAAAGCTCTTTATTTTTCTCATACTGCCTGTACTGCAGCACCTCTTTTCACCCTCTGTCTGAAACCAGAGCCCAGTATGCTCTGATTGGTTAGCTGGCCGGCTCTGTTGTCATTGATCAACCGCTTAGAGAGGACAGATAGATAGATATTGTGCTTCTGCGATAAAACTACAAATGATATTCATTTTGCAGCTCTAATAAGGCCGCTCAACCTCTCCTCCTCGATCCACACCATACCTCCAGGCTTCACTTCTGCTTTTAATTTGAAAGACGAGTGTGTTCTTGTTTAATAAGTCACAGAAGCACTGTGGTGTTAATTATCTCCAGCCGCTAGTATTTCCAGCCAACACTCTAATTGCAGGAACAATTGGTTGTAACAGCCCACAACAAAGTATTAATTAAGCCAACAAACACAGCTCTGATTCCACAACAGAGACACATTTGAACTGGAAAACGTTTTTTCCCCTGAGACAGGCAACTATTGTTCTGCTAATCTTCAGATGGGAAAGCAAAGGTCCCTGGACCAATAACAGGCAATACAGCTGTTAAGTACTTAGTATTTAGTTCACTGAGGCATCTATAATTTGGAAAGGGATATAATTACAATGTTTTATTGTGTTGGGAGTTTACAAAACATGACAACACATGAGATGAAACATTAATTGGTGGTTTATTTTTGTGGTATTGCTTGTTGTTGTGTCAGTCGTTCAAAAGGGAATCTCAGGAACCGTAAAGCCTCCATCTTTAACCAAGTATAGGTTTTTACCTTTACAGGGGTGTCAAACTCAATTTCATCGCTGGCCATATTAGCATT